AAAGTATCAACTGGTTGGTGAAGTATCAAGGGGTTGGTAAAGTATCAAGGGGTTGGTAAAGTATCAACTGGTTGGTAAAGTATCAAGGGGTTGGTAAAGTATCAAGGGGTTGGTAAAGTATCAAGGGGTTGGTAAAGTATCAACTGGTTGGTAAAGTATCAAGGGGTTGGTAAAGTATCAAGGGGTTGGTAAAGTATCAAGGGGTTGGTAAAGTATCAAGGGGTTGGTAAAGTATCAAGGGGTTGGTAAAGTATCAACTGGTTGGTAAAGTATCAAGGGGTTGGTAAAGTATCAAGGGGTTGGTAAAGTATCAAGGGGTTGGTAAAGTATCAAGGGGTTGGTAAAGTATCAAGGGGTTGGTAAAGTATCAACTGGTTGGTAAAGTATCAAGGGGTTGGTAGAGTATCAACTGGTTGGTAAAGTATCAAGGGGTTGGTAAAGTATCAAGGGGTTTGGTAAAGTATCAAGGGGTTGGTAAAGTATCAACTGGTTGGTAAAGTATCGATGGGTTGGTAAAGTATCAACTGGTTGGTAAAGTATCAAGGGGTTGGTAAAGTATCGACTGGTTGGTAAAGTATCAAGGGGTTGGTAAAGTATCTACAGGTTGGTAAAGTATCGATGGGTTGGTAAAGTATCGACGGGTCGGTAAAGTATCGACGGGTTGGTAAAGTATCGACGGGTTGGTAAAGTATCGATGGGTTGGTAAAGTATCGATGGGTTGGTAAAGTATCGATGGGTTGGTAAAGTATCGATGGGTTGGTAAAGTATCGATGGGTTGGTAAAGTATCGATGGGTTGGTAAAGTATCGATGGGTTGGTAAAGTATCGATGGGTTGGTAAAGTATCGATGGGTTGGTAAAGTATCGATGGGTTGGTAAAGTATCGATGGGTTGGTAAAGTATCGACGGGTTGGTAAAGTATCAAGGGGTTGGTAAAGTATCAAGGGGTTGGTAAAGTATCAACGGGTTGGTAAAGTATCAAGGGGTTGGTAAAGTATCAAGGGGTTGGTAAAGTATCAAGGGGTTGGTAAAGTATCAAGGGGTTGGTAAAGTATCAAGGGGTTGGTAAAGTATCAAGGGGTTGGTAAAGTATCAAGGGGTTGGTAAAGTATCAAGGGGTTGGTAAAGTATCAAGGGGTTGGTAAAGTATCAACTTGTTGGTAAAGTATCAAGGGGTTGGTAAAGTATCAAGGGGTTGGTAAAGTATCAAGGGGTTGGTAGAGTATCAAGGGGTTGGTAAAGTATCAAGGGGTTGGTAAAGTATCAAGGGGTTGGTAAAGTATCAAGGGGTTGGTAAAGTATCAAGGGGTTGGTAAAGTATCAACTGGTTGGTAAAGTATCAACTGGTTGGTAAAGTATCAACTGGTTGGTAAAGTATCAACTGGTTGGTAAAGTATCAACTGGTTGGTAAAGTATCAAGGGGTTGGTAGAGTATCAACTGGTTGGTAAAGTATCAACTGGTTGGTAAAGTATCAACTGGTTGGTAAAGTATCAACTGGTTGGTAAAGTATCAAGGGGTTGGTAGAGTATCAACTGGTTGGTAAAGTATCAACTGGTTGGTAAAGTATCAAGGGGTTGGTAAAGTATCAACTGGTTGGTAAAGTATCAAGGGGTTGGTAAAGTATCAAGGGGTTGGTAAAGTATCAACTGGTTGGTAAAGTATCAAGGGGTTGGTAAAGTATCAACTGGTTGGTAAATTATCAAGGGGTTGGTAAAGTATCAAGGGGTTGGTAAAGTATCAACTGGTTGGTAAAGTATCAAGGGGTTGGTAGAGTATCAACTGGTTGGTAAAGTATCAAGGGGTTGGTAAAGTATCAACTGGTTGGTAAAGTATCAAGGGGTTGGTAAAGTATCAACTGGTTGGTAAAGTATCAAGGGTTTGGTAGAGTATCAACTGGTTGGTAAAGTATCAAGGGGTTGGTAAAGTATCAAGGGGTTGGTAAAGTATCAAGGGGTTGGTAAAGTATCAAGGGGTTGGTAAAGTATCAAGGGGTTGGTAAAGTATCAAGGGGTTGGTAAAGTATCAAGGGGTTGGTAAAGTATCAAGGGGTTGGTAAAGTATCAAGGGGTTGGTAAAGTATCAAGGGGTTGGTAAAGTATCAACTGGTTGGTGAAGTATCAACTGGTTGGTGAAGTATCAACTGGTTGGTGAAGTATCAACTGGTTGGTAAAGTATCGACTGGTTGGTAAAGTATCGACTGGTTGGTAAAGTATCGACTGGTTGGTAAAGTATCAACTGGTTGGTAAAGTATCGACTGGTTGGTAAAGTATCGACTGGTTGTTAAAGTATCGACGGCTTGGTAAAGTATCAACTGGTTGTTAAAGTATCGACGGGTTGGTAAAGTATCAACTGGTTGGTAAAGTATCGATGGGTTGGTAAAGTATCGACGGGTTGGTAAAGTATCGACTGGTTGGTAAAGTATCGACTGGTTGGTAAAGTATCGACTGGTTGGTAAAGTATCGACTGGTTGGTAAAGTATCGACTGGTTGGTGAAGTATCAACTGGTTGGTAAAGTATCGACTGGTTGGTAAAGTATCGACTGGTTGGTAAAGTATCGACTGGTTGGTAAAGTATCAACTGGTTGGTAAAGTATCGACTGGTTGGTAAAGTATCGACTGGTTGGTAAAGTATCGACTGGTTGGTAAAGTATCGACTGGTTGGTAAAGTATCGACTGGTTGGTAAAGTATCGACTGGTTGGTAAAGTATCGATGGGTTGGTAAAGTATCAACTGGTTGTTAAAGTATCGACGGGTTGGTAAAGTATCGACTGGTTGGTAAAGTATCGACTGGTTGGTAAAGGAACAGCTCGGGTCAGTCTTGGGGCTGATCAGAGTTTCTTCCAGGCATCTCTTCGGGGGGGGGGGGACACGGAGCCCCTCCCCCCCCCCCCCTCCCCGGAAGAAAGTCTGAAAGAAACACTGGGGCTGAAGGTCTGTGAACAATGTGCTAATATTTCTGACCGATCAGCGTGTTTAGTTGGTCGTCATGGAGATTTTGTATTTTCTAAATTGAGTTATTTTAAAAATTGGTCATTGTATAAAGTTGATCCATTTGTCAAATTGTTCAATTTTTCCGATTAATCCATTTATTTAATTGACCCTTTCTTCCAATAGGTCCATTTGTCCAGTTTTTTAACTAACAGTTTATCCCTATTCGTCCATTACTCCTAACAAAAATATTGTGCTCTTCGAGCTAATAAGAAATCTATATTAAAATATGAAGCCTACTGGTAAAGTAATTATTAAGAACAAATAACCTAGGAAACGTTACCTAAAATAGAAATATAAAGTATAAAAGTCGGATCACCAAACCGAAACAAAACAACTCACCTTGTAAACACGAGTCTCGTGTGATACAGAGCTCATGTCGTAGACAAACCATGTGTGTCACAGGTTTAAAAAAAAAACAGTCATGTTCGTCTGCTAGATTTATGACTTAACAAACCTTGGGTACGTACAGGTAGCTTTAACGCAAAGGCGACCCAATATTTGCCTACCGACTGCAAGGGCCCAGTAGTTTGATGATAGGACACAATAAAAGACAGGATGCGAACTTGTTAACCAGTAGTTATTTGAGACCGACCAACCTCATAAACCCACTCATAACACCCCACCCCTCTACATATGACCGCCATAAAACCTTGAATTTTTATAAATACATAAATATTTACATAATTTTATCAGCTGTAATATTTGAGTAGCCCAGCCCTGATGTAAGGTTATAGTTAAATCTTTAAAAAAAACAGTGAAGTTACGTTTAACACTTTAGCGACCCTACATTTTTGTGACTGAATAAAGGGTAATTAATTACCTTGCTGTTCTGCTTAAAAAGGCAACATCATCATCAGTGTTTCTCCCAGACTTTTTTTCTCGGGGGGGGGGCTTGAAATTTTTGGGGAGGGGCGGACTAAAATTTCCGAGAGGGGAGTGGGCGGCGGACACTGTTGAAAGTATATATTTTCTATATAAATTCCATTTCGTTCGGGAGGCGGTAGACTTTTTCGGGGGGGGGGGGGGGAGGCGAAATGATGCCTGGGAGAAACTCTGATCATCGTCCCTCCTATTAAAAGAGTAAATGATAGCGTGAATCCGGGAGTTTTCTCTTGTCTTTGGTGTTGTTTTCACGATTTCATCCCCCCCCCCAGTCATTAAAAACAAACAGTTTGGAAGAAGGATCAGGACATGGAAATGACTTGGCTTGTTCTTTGACTTACTCTTGTCAAGCCTTGAAATGACTTGGTTTATGCTGGCAAGGACTTTACCGCCGTTTTGACCAGGAAATGACTTGGTTTGGCCTAGAAATTACTTACCGCTGTTTTGAAATTACTGTACCTAGAAATGACTTAACGCTGATTTAAAATGACTTGCTTTGACTTAGAAATGACTTACCGCTGGCTTGACCTGAAAATGACTTGATTTGACCTGGAAATGACTTGGTCTAATATTTGACTTACCGCTGGCTTGACCTGGAAATGACTTGATTTGACCTGGAAATGACTTGGTCTAATATTTGACTTACCGCTGGCTTGACCTGAAAATGACTTGATATGACCTGGAAATGACTTGGTCTAATATTTGACTTACCGCTGGCTTGACCTGGAAATGACTTGGTCTAATATTTGACTTACCGATGGTTTGACCTGGAAATGACTTGATATGACCTGGAAATGACTTGGTCTAATATTTGACTTACCGCTGGCTTGACCTGGAAATGGACTTGGTCTAACATTTGACTTACCGCTGGCTTGACCTGGAAATGACTTGGTCTAATATTTGACTTACCGCTGGCTTGACCTGGAAATGACTTGGTCTAACATTTGACTTACCGCTGGCTTGACCTGGAAATGACTTGGTCTAACATTTGACTTACCGCTGGCTTGACCTGGAAATGACTTGGTCTAACATTTGACTTACCGCTGGCTTGACCTGGAAATGACTTGGTCTAATATTTGACTTACCGCTGGCTTGACCTGGAAATGACTTGGTCTAACATTTGACTTACCGCTGGCTTGACCTGGAAGTGGACCATGTTGCTGAAACTAATGGACTTTTTGCTCCCCGCCCCCGGGCTGCCTGGCGGGCGTCGGTCAAGGCTGAATGACGTCAGCGATGAGGGGTCGATGATTTTTTTCTTTAGGTTGGATCTCTTGCTTTAGGTTGGATCTCTTGGCGTCATTTCTAGGGGGACGGGTGGAATAGAGAGAATATATTGAGTTGAAATTACAAGAAGGCCTGGGGGGGGGGGGGGGGAGAGAGAGACAAGATAATTGGTTGAATTACTTAACACGTTGGACAGATCCATATTGGACCCTCAGCGTGAGACTTAGATTTGTATTTGATGAATTAAGAATTGGCTTTTATTTAAACTTTTCATTGGGTTACTGGGTACTTCGATACCCTCTCGGACATGGTGGTCAATGAGGTAGATGAAGTAGGGTTCATCCGTTTATGTGAGTCAGGTACCCATTAAAGCTGGATGGACTCATGAACACCCTATGGACTCGAGCCGGGGATCCGAAAACTCGACACAGCTGTCGTGTGCTCTATCGCTGGACCACGCCGTGTAAGCTTTGATAAAGGGCTTTAATAATGGGCTTTAATAATGGGCTTTAATAATGGGCTTTAATAATGGGCTTTAACAATGGGCTTTAACAATGGGCTTTAATAATGGGCTTTTTAAAATGATTTTTGTTATATCATCGTGTGCTTTAGTTATGGGTTTTTTACTTTGGATTTTTAAAAACCATTTATGTGTGAGTATTCCATAGACTTATGGAACGGCGTGGGATAGCAGTAGAGCACTAGGTTGCTAACCCGAAAGTCTCGAGTTCGAATCCGGGTCCAAGTCAGTAGAAGGTCCCTGAGTCCACCCAGCTCTGATGGGTACCCAACTCATAGTTAGGGAAAGTAAAGGCGGCTGGGCATAGTGCTGACCACAGCTTCCCTTCATATGCCGATGTAAAGAAACATATGGACTCTACTTCATCTACCCAATGGATCGCTAGGTCTAAAGAGGGTTTTTTACTTTACGCCACATAGTACGTGGGTGCTTAAATAATTGGTTTTTTTTATGATTTTGCTAGAACATAGTGTGCTTTAGCAACGAGCTTTTTATTTTGAATTTTATTAACCCTTAAGGTGTTGGTAGGTCCTAGACTTACTTGTTGTTAAGCTTTGATATATCGTTAGTTGAGGGCGGGAGGGAGGCTGTGTTCCCAGACTGAAGAAACTTCTGCTCGGCGTCTGGATGTAAGTCTTTGCTGGAATTTGTCTTGGCGATGTCGGCCAGCTCGGGGGTCGACTCCGACTTGAAGTTCAGGGTCACGAGTTCTGGCACCATCACCACGGCCAGGTTGTTGCAGCTGCTGCTGTTGTTGGCGGCGAGTTTGGTCAGCGATGGCGTCGCGGCGTCCCCCAGGGTGGGGGCCGTGAGGTGGGGGTTGACGGGTGGGGAGATGGCGGTGAACGTCAGCTCTTGTTTATCCGAAGGTGTGGCTAGAAAATTCTGGTTGATGAAGGCCTCTGGGATACATTTCTCCTCGGGGTGGGTGGGTTTGGTGGCTGGGTGGAAATCCGAAAAGTCGAGAATTTGAGGCGGTGGGGGGTTGGGGTGGAGGGGGTCCCCCCAGAAGTCATGCTCCCCGCTGGTGTGACTGGCTTCGCTGATACGGGACAAAGATCGCGTTCGGCCGTCTCTGTAATAGTCGAAATCCCCGTAGTAAAGGCTGGCGCTGTGCGACGTTTTCGTGACGTCATTTCTCTCGTGACGTGCGGAGGAGCGCGTGAGGTCATCGGAGTTCAGACACGTCTCCTCGTCTAATAGAGAGTCCAGGTTTTTGAAAAACTCCAACTTCCGGTTGTTTTTGGCGAAATCAGCTTTGGGCGACAGAGATTTCTTCTCTACCAGGCTGGGCTGCAGAATGTAAGCCATCTTTGTGTCTTTGGGTTGTCTGAAAGTAATTTTTTACGTTTTAATCTGCTTTTTGTTTCAGGCATCTCTTTATATTCCTATGATCCCCTTCACCCCCCCCCCCCCCCCCCCCCGGAATAAAAAGTCTGAAAGAAACATAGGTTTTATTTTATCGGTATGATTTTGCTTATCCATGATCATGATAATTAAGATTGTATCAATATTTATCAAAGATCAATAATTTCATTGGCTGATTATTTTTAAATTACATTGGTAGTAGCATAATAATTGACAGATCAACGCTTTTTTTTTAAATTACAGGTAAAAATAATCATTTTCATTATCATAGTTATATTTCCCCCTTACTTATTGATCGATATGTATGGATGTGTGTGTAGGGGGGGGGGGGTATTTTAGTAAATATAAATTGTAAAAATATAACAGTAAATCGTCGGTTTTCTTTGGATTTTATCAAACTTATGTTTAAGTCACGCCTTGCCAATCGGAGGCTACTTAATGATGATGTTATTTAATTAAGTTCGTAATTTAGTTCAGCGATGCTAGGGGAAAGCATCCAAATATTTAAACTCTCGACACCCCGGTCCAAACTGTGAGGTCGGCAAAATTTACACCTGTTAAGTTAGCTATTTACCAATCGAGTTCTGGGTAGCTGTTTACAATTTTTTAAACTGGTCTACTATCTACTTATGGGACGGCGTGGCCTAGCAGTAGAGCACTAGACTGCTTACCTGAAAGTCTTGAGTTTGAATCCTGGTTCAAGTTTGTACAACGTCCCTGAGCACACCCAACTCGGATGGGTACCTGACTCATGTTAAGGAAAGTTAAGGCGGCTGCGCGTAATGCTGACCCCTCTATCCCTTCAGATGCCGAGGTCAAGAAATATGTAAACTCTACTTCATCTGCCCAATGGATCGCTAGGTCCAAGGAGAAATCTATTATTTTTTTTTACTATCTACTTACCTAATGTTCTGCCCAGATATCTGGGTTTTTTTTATTATCTACGGTCTACATAGATTGTTTTACACATATCCTCAAATAAATAAACACACAGAAATAAAGGTACACATAATATTAAATCAAAACTTGAATAGCTAAGAATACGATTCACTAATAAACAGCTGGAGTTATAGAGGCTACTCACCTAATGTAGCCGGCCTCCGCTTTAGCTCTCGGAGCTCAACTTAAGCTCTCGGTGGTCAACTTAAGCTCTCGGTGGTCAACTTAAGCTCTCACTGGTCAACTTAAGCTCTGGCTGGTCAACTTAAGCTCTGGCTGGTCAACTTAAGCTCTGGCTGGTCAACTTAAGCTGTCATAGGTCAGTCAACGTGTGGGCTACTCCCCACCCCACGTCATACCAAACTGTCTAAACGCCAAAATCAGGTAACGCCGGAGTAGACACCGACCCACTTTCAAGCCAAAGTTTACCTGGGGATAGAGTTACCCCACGTGACACACTGTTACACCCTTTCTTCCTTACACCCACACACCCACACACCCACACACATACACACGATTGAAGTATGGTTGTACTCAGTGTGTCCGTTAAACCCCCCATAGTTCCGGATCGACTCAACAGATTGAAGACCCCCCCCCCCCCCGGTCAGTTGTTCACACAGTAGACCCTTAGCCGTCTGCTGTAATCATGGAGGGGGGTTGGTGTCAGTGTAAAAATAGTCGTGTGGACATGTTTAGACGGCATGTCAAGGTCAAGTCGTACCCTGGAGACATTGTCACAGGGGCATAACTGTGTTCACGGTTGTTGCCCGACTAGATTGGGGGAGGGGGGTAACGCCACAACACACCCTCCCCCTTTATTTTTAATCTTTAAGCTCATATATGAATATAGTAGCACAAAAAATAGGCTACAAGTCAATTTGTCACTAGAAATTATATAGCCAGATGAAGGCGTACTCGTCGCTGAAAGTACTCGATACTCGGTTCTGGAACAGTCACGCGTATCGATACTACTTTTTAGACGATTTAAAAACACGTGGTTTAAGGTTAGGTACCGTATAACGGAAAAGATGACCCCGTCCTTAATTTCTCGTCATTTTTTTTTTTTATGGCACTTCCATTTTGAACCAATGGCACGTGACAAATAATCGGATCTACCTAAAAGATTTGGGTTATCGGTCTATTTCTAATCAGTGGTTTTCTTTTCAGACTTTTCTCCGGGGTGGGGTGGGGGGGGGGGGGGAGGGGGGAACCTGGCACTTTCAGAGGGGGGTGTCACGGGTAAAAGTATGTTTTCTATACAAAGAGTATTTTTAAAATTTCGTTCTGATGGGTCCCCCCCCCCCCCCCCCCAAGAGCTGCCTGAAAGAAACACTGCTTCTAATGTTGGTGTGTGTAAGAAATCGCAAGTCAAACGTGTATCTAACACCCATTAAAGTCTTGTGTACATATTAGATCCACATACTACGTAGGGGAGGGGGGGGGGAGAGACGATACGGATATTTATCATTTAATTGTATTTTGTTATGTGAAGGGATGGTGTACAGAGCTATGATAAAGTTACCTTTGATACCTCGGGTGTACAGAGCTATGGTAAAGTTACCTTTGATACCTCGGGTGTACAGAGCTATGGTAAAGTTACCTTTGATACCTCGGGTGTACAGAGCTATGGTAAAGTTACCTTTGATACCTCGGGTGTACAGAGCTATGGTAAAGTTACCTTTGATACCTCGGGTGTACAGAGCTATGATAAAGTTACCTTTGATACCTCGGGTGTACAGAGCTATGGTAAAGTTACCTTTGATACCTCGGGTGTACAGAGATAAGTTACCTTTGATACATCGGGTGTACAGAGCTATAGTAAAGTTACCTTTGATACCTCGGGTGTACAGAGCTATAGTAAAGTTACCTTTGATACATCGGGTGTACAGAGCTATGGTAAAGTTACCTTTGATACCTCGGGTGTACAGAGCTATGGTAAAGTTACCTTTGATACCTCGGGTGTACAGAGCTATGGTAAAGTTACCTTTGATACCTCGGGTAAACAGAGCTATGATAAAGTTACCTTTGTTACCTCGGGTGTACAGAGCTATGGTAAAGTTACCTTTGATACCTCGGGTGTACAGAGCTATGGTAAAGTTACCTTTGATACCTCGGGTGCACAGAGCTATGGTAAAGTTACCTTTGATACCTCGGGTGTACAGAGCTAAAGTTACCTTTGATACCTCGGGTGTACAGAGCTATGATAAAGTTACCTTTGATACCTCGGGTGCCCAGAGCTATGGTAAAGTTACCTTTGATACCTCGGGTGTACAGAGCTATGATAAAGTTACCTTTGATACCTCGGGTGTACAGAGCTGTGGTAAAGTTACCTTTGATACCTCGGGTGTACAGAGCTATGATAAAGTTACCTTTGATACCTCGGGTGTACAGAGCTATGGTAAAGTTACCTTTGATACCTAGGGTGTACAGAGCTAAAGTTACCTTTGATACCTCGGGTGTACAGAGCTAAAGTTACCTTTGATACCTCGGGTGTACAGAGCTATGGTAAAGTTACCTTTGATACCTCGGGTGTACAGAGCTATGGTAAAGTTACCTTTGATACCTCGGGTGTACAGAGCTATGATAAAGTTACCTTTGATACCTCGGGTGTACAGAGCTATGGTAAAGTTACCTTTGATACCTCGGGTGTACAGAGCTATGATAAAGTTACCTTTGATACCTCGGGTTTTTGCGTGCTTTCTTTAGAAAAGTTGGGTGGACATATTGCCAAAAATATATCACATGTTACTTTTTTAACACGGCGTAAGGATTACAAAGACGGCTGGACATAGTGCTGACCACACTATCTCTTCATATGCCGAGGTAACAGAAACATGTGAACTCTACTTCACTTGCCCCATAGACCGTCAGGTTTGAAAGGAAACTTTACTTGAAGGATTACAACGGTTACACATACAAAGAAAGAATGATAATTTGTTTACCGGATTTCTTATACCGGTGTCCGGTAATGCCACAATAATAGAATCTTCTTAAAATAAGGGTGTTCCCGGTAGTTAACTAAATACAGATATGATTTTCTAATGTCAAATTCTAACCTTAATTTTTCATAACAAGATACACTTTGCACTCTCTAAAACAGATTATGTTCATAAGACTCCAATATTGCCATTTTTTAAATCACAGATACCATAAGATACCAAATACTTTCGTGGTTTGGGTAGATGAAGGATGTGGAAGGGAGGGGGTTGTTGGTCAAAAGGACTCATTTATTGTTATATAACATGTGAACAGGTAAAGGTATAGCCATGAGCTATCTATAAAATATTCTCGTCTGTCAAAAAACTTTTTTAAAAATAACGGTACGTGTGTTGCTAATCATTAGCAAGACTCGTCTGCCTGTACACCTATTGATTTCATTTTTGGACTAGCGTTAAGTGTTTTAATATTAATTACTACATAACCTCTCATCCACATCAATTCGTTTTTAAAGATTTATTTTAAAAGATGTTAAGAATAAGAGATTAAAGTTCACCTTCATTGAAAGAACTCCATGACTTCTTCAGAAAAAAATAGCACACACCAAAATCATTGACTAGTTTCTCTTACTGAATACTGAAGTGTGAGAATGTAAGATTATAAACTACACCACATTTCTCAGAATATTTATCCAAAAACAATATACATAATTATAGATCTATGCTATTTTCCATCAACTTTCACATCCAGTATTGGACAGATCTAATAGAAATTCATCCATTGTGTTTCATCAAATTTTTTTTTAAAAATCCAATTTGTTTTTCTAATCAGGTTTAGATCATCCGAGTTAAATCCACATTGACCTTTGAGAAGAACAGAGCTATGACGTTTTGTAACAAATTTGTGTCACCCTCTGTGATCCAACGGGAGGGGAGGGGGGGGGGGGAAGTGGGTCAATACGTCGTCTGATAACTCAGGAACATTCGTGTAGAAATCAAAACAAGAAATATTTTCTCGTCTGAATCGTTCACGGCTAACCAGATGTTTTTGAAGGAAAAAATTTTTAATGTTTTTTTTTTCTCTCAAATTCATAATTGTTTTTGCTTGTTTTTGTACCTTATGTGTTGGCTTTAGATGTTGCTTTTGCTTTTTCCCTCCCCATCCCACCCCAATGTTTTTTAATTCTGAACTACAACGTGGCCTGTTTTTAAGTTTATGGTCACATTATATCACGTTATATCATAGTGACAATCAACACACCACCATTACATAAGATAATTATAAAATCTCAGAAAGTAAACAACGTGGAAAATACGGGATAGTCCAGAAACAATTTATTTACCTTATACCTGTTTTGTATTGAGGGAGAAGGGGGAGGGGCACACATTAGTACAGGTTAAAGGTATGTACTAGTGACGTCACAAGAATGTCATTATTAGAAGTTTTTTTGTGCGCATTACAACCCATAAAATGTATCGACAAATACAAATGAATTAGTTCGAGTAGTTTATTGTATTTAGTATGTTTTAAAGTATCCTGTTTGCTGGAATCTGACATTTGGTGACTAGCTATTGTAATGCTGGCACTGAGGGTAGTGGGTAACTTAAGGGTGACCGGAGTTGATGCAGTCAATTAGCTGCCTATTATAAAACTTAATTAGGCTAATTAACATATCTAGAATAGCTCTACGATTATTATGAGTGGCTTCGGATAAACATCCAACTTAGCCGCAACCATATTAGACCAGATATAGCGACTTAATCAATAAGGGTATAGATGTAAGACATATAGTCAATAAAAGGGTGTTTGTTTTACTAAAGAAAATTTGATTAGGTATTTTTCAAGGGGTTAGTTAGGATATTTTCTGTCTTTAATTACGTTGATGCCATCCCCCACAGTCCATACATTTTGTAAGAAAGATGTATTTTAGTGCTGTTGAAATGTGTTAATATTTGTACACACAAAATTTTGAAAAAATTAATTGTTTTAGTTGTTGTTGAAATGTATACCACGTAATCATTCGCTTGAGACAGTCGTGATGATTTCAACTGAAACCAATTAGGCTTAGGCTTAACAGGTCAGACATTAAATGTGGGCATTGGCCGTTCAGCATTCTTTTGAAAGCATTTGGGTAAATAACTAATTTGATGGATTTGGCGCCCCATAGTACAGCCAACGCCCACTCAGCTGCCTTTAATGTTATTGATGCGTGTTTTTTTCTGTCTAAGGTGTTGGAATTTTGATCTCTTGTACTTTAGCAATTCTTGATTCCACTTGGGCTGAATCAGGTAAACATAACAACACGCGAACTTTCATTTTCTAGGGCTTTTGGTGTGTACTACACATTGGCCATGGTGTGTACTACACATTGGCCATGGTGTGTACTACACATTGGCCATGGTGTGTACTACACATTGGCCATGGTGTGTACTACACATTGGCCATGGTGTGTACTACACATTGGCCATGGTGTGTACTACACATTGGCCATGGAGTGTACTACACATTGGCCACGGTGTGTATTACACATTGGCCATGGTGTGTATTAGGCCATGGTGTGTACTACACATTGGACAAAATCTTGCCACTTTATAAATGGATCCATACCATGCACTTTAACTACCACATAATTAACCAACATTCTGTACTGTTAATGTCATCAATAGCCAACATCCTGCTCTCTTCCTATATTTGCCAACCCAATAAAAAATAAAAACACACATTACATGGAATCTGCGTGCTACAGACAGAAGACAGTACCCAGCACGACATTCCCCATTGATTCACACCATTCTATATCTGCACTACCGGCACGCTAATGGATCCGTGCGGCACGCTACTCGCATCCTTCAAGCTGACACGGACATTCCTTCACTGTGTGGTCAAAGTCAAGAGAGGACAGTGGACGTGTTACGGTCTAGTGATTTTATGGCACTATTTCAGCTGTGTTCATGTCGTGACTTGGGTATATCATACACATATATATATATATGTATAATATATGTAAGGCTTATATGACAATGTAGTCTGTTTATATGAAGTTTATGTAGATGTTTATATATATGTATGTAGCCTGCGTGTGTATATGTATCCGTATTTATAATATCATCATCATTCCCGTGGACATAAGTTCAATCCTCCAACATTAATTCAGTTAAGAACGAAGAAGAAAGAATTCCTGTGGACACCTCTCCAATGTACTCGATTTTGGGCGGTTCCTCCAAGTTGACTCCACGTCATTACGACTGCTTCTGCTTCACTGACAGCTGATCTTTTCTAGTTCGTTTTGGTCTACCAACTTTCCTCTACTATGGGGGATTCCAATCTAGTGGCTGTCTGGTATATTGGGCCCATACATACATTATATATATATATATATATATATATATATATATATATATATATATATATATATATATTATAAGTTCGTTTGAAGTCATAAATGAAGCTTCCTTTCCCCGATAGAAATTGACAATCAGTTTCCTGTTAAAATGATTTATTAAATAACTTAAGGAAACTAAAGACCAGTTATTATCGGTGTTACATTAGTTACAATGAGATGTTTGATGCCCATTTATTACAACTTGCCTTCTTGTCGCGAGAGTGATTTCCCTTGGTATGTTTTAGCCCCAGCAGTCACTCGTTAAAACGGGGTTGACAATTTGTAACAATTACCGTAGCACAACAGTTGTTGGAGAGTTTCTTTAAAACATCTCTTCGTGGGTGCCCTGTCGCCCCACCCACAAACACGGCGACACCCCCGCCCCCACTGAACGTATTGGAATTTGTAAATATATACTTTTACCAGTGTGCACTCCCGCCAAAAGTATCGTTAAATTTAAGTCGTGCAGGACTTTAAAAAATGTATTTGATGAACACCGAGGCAGACGTGTAGAAAATGTCACATGATGCACGTGACGTAATGATTACAGACAAGCAAATGTAGGTCAATGTTCTAATCCTAAACCACACAAGGAGGTTATCTGATGATCGAAAGGCGGGAAAGACGGTCGGATATGAGAAGTGACCTACAAATAGAAGCAAGGGAAATAATCTTTCAAATGTGGCCACTACTGAACATGCTGAATTTCGCTTACATACCATTAATATAGTTTCTTCCATGCATGTCTTACCCCCCCCCCCTCGAACGAAATGTAATTTTAACAGTGTGCGCCCCTCCCCCCCCCCCCCTCCCCCCGGAGAAAAAAGTCTAGAAGAAACACTGATGATATATTGAGCTAAAATGCGTTATTAATTATAGGTTGAACCAGTTTAAATAACACATCAAAACAATTCAGGCAGTCTTTGTCTTTTTTCTTTATTTGTATCGACTCATCGCAACAAATATATGTAACATTTTACAAAACAATTTACTAAACACTATACTATAATAGTAGTCAAAGTAAAATGTCAACTAAACAATCAACTATAGGGAATGACATCAAAATGATCAGTTATAAATAAAGGCGTTTGAATAGTATACGGAAAAAATAACCTGGACATATACATTTTTGGCACATACAACCCCCCCCCCCCCACTTGTTTGAGTAATATATTCGAATATTCGAGAAGAGAACTTACTTGATTAATGAAAACTTAAGTTAGTAGACATAATGCCAATATAAAGGTTTAAAATTGTTATTTTACTCTATGTTTAATAATTGAAATTAAAATGTCTGTTTTAGTTTATATATATATATATATATATATATATATATATATATATATATATATATATATATATATATATATATAACAAAACCAACAGAAATTAATAGTATTCAAGTGTACAGGAAAGTGCTGACAGTTACTTTTACTGAAAAGAAAATGCCCTCTGCAATCCACTTGTTATTTTAATTTTTTTTTAAACTAATAGATAGCAAAATTAGTAGTGTTATCAGCTGACCATTACATCGTCTGCGGGGCCAGCTAAATAAAAAGTTGAACAGTCACATGCGTGCAGACTGCGGTATCTATAAATAGTTTGGGTAAGGAAGTTAAAGGAAGTTTTGTGAATTGCTAAGGGCTTTCTGTCAGAAAGCCCATTTTAATGATTGGCTACAATAATTACATCTAAATGACAAACTACAAAACAAAGTAATCAAAATATGTTATAAGCATTAACAAAAAAATGGAACATATAAAAATAAAACTGAATGTTTCAAAGGTAAAATTGCATTAAATGTATAACATGTGCATTCATTGGTCAACAACTTATTGACAAATACTTGCAAGTAGTGGGGATTTCATCTACTAGGATTCATAACAGGTAATTTAAACAGTAAACTACTGCTGTAATTTAAGGGGTAGGGATTGCTTTATTAAAAATTATTATAATTAAAAAATAAAGCATCTTAAGTTCAAATCAAAACTAACACCCCTTCAACTCATACAAACATACTCATAACCACCAACAGGTTAACTTCCAATACATAGATTAGTTATGTTTTCATTCTAATAACTCTCTATAATTTATAAACTACATAGATTTTTTATGTTTTCATTCTAATAACTCTCTTTAATTTATAAAGAAGATAAACAGCTACTCTTTCACACAGTTAAAATACACTTAAACACCCAGGTGTGAAATATATCATTATAAAACAGCTTTTTGGCTATTGTTACACATAAATACACACACACAAACATACACATACACACACATTTTATATATATATATATATATATATATATATATATATATATATATATATATATAATGTATAAGGCTAAAATAAATGATTCAAACAAGGAAGTTCATGCACATACTAAGAATGCTATTGGCTAGTAACTGGAATGAAAGACAAACTGGGTTGTAAATGTATTGGTCAAATGGAAAACAATGATATTAGTAGCACCTTTACCTTAAATGTTGGTGCATTGGTTAGCACTTGACTTGGAAGCAATAAAATATAATCATGATATGTAGTCACTAACAACTGGTGCTGTAAACAACAACACCGGGCATACCGCAGTAACTTACATCGTATTGTAATATGTAACAGAAGCGTGGTAGTTAGTGTAACGGGGTAGTTTGACTTGTGCTAACAACTGATCACAGACAGGCCTATACCATAATTGGGTTGCTGGGCTAGTTTGGCTGGGTGTGGCACCCAGGAGGATTTCATCACAGTAATCTTAATGGTCAAGCATGCGTCACATCTTAATGGTCCAGTATGGGTCACATCTTGATGGTCAAGTATGGGTCACACCATGATGGTCCAGTATAGGCCATGCTTTGATAGTGAAATATAGGCCATTGCTACTAGCAAAAATGGATGAGATCCAGTGGCTGTGGATAATTCAGCCTACATCCTATGAGATCTAGGAAAGTGTCCAGATATTTTTTAAAGCTGTGAGTTGCCACATTGGATGTGGAAAGTTTAAACGAACTGCCAAACCTGGCTGATGTGGTCGTCTACACAGCCCAGGAGTTTCAGGACCCGGGTTCCCGTAAAGCTCCTGTACGCAGTGAGGCACAGGCCTGTTGGGTCATGGCGCAGGAACCCGTCCTGTCAAAAAATATTGCTACAGTGTTATCACACCATGGTGAAACAGAATGTATGCATAAATGTATAAATGTGTACAACAGCACATACAATACAATTTAGGAAGGGGAAGATACTAGAACACACCTGGAAGAAATAAAACAAATAACATATATAGAAATATGTACTAAATTCAGTGACCCCCCCCCCCCCCATCCCCACCCCAGAGAAAAATATCTGAATGCAAACCCTGTATATATTAAAGGCCTACTATCAAGGCGTTTTCCAGGCTATACAATTGTCAGGGATGTGTACCAGAAATATATTTAGGATTGGAATCAAGGCTAAGGGAGGCTACTCTAGCTGAAATAAAATGGAAAGCTAAAGTAAAATATCTTTATTGACAATACTACGTAAAAACTGTATCTCTAACGTAGTCTATAGATTGCCCCCCTCCCATCTCCATTATCTCTCAGATCTACATAACGTGAGTCTATATTTACCCTTATTTAATTTTCATACAAATATGCAACCCAAAAAAGGGAGTTAATCAACTATCGTTTTTAATATTCTTCTAAAAATAAAATAAAATTTAATAATTAAACAAAACATTGGTACGCAGTTGGAATTTAGTATGCACTATTCTAAATTTTACTAGATTTATGCTTTCTAAGGCTGTCAGTGTAAAAATTATTTTATTCTCCACACTTTTGATTATTTTTATCACTAAATCATTGTTCATAGTTAAGCAAATATTCTAAACCATATTACAGTGTTACCCACACACTTATGTTGAAATACTGCATCATTTAAAAACTGAAGTTTTTAAAAATATCCTTCATTTCACTTGTATGTGATTTGTGTTCTAATCTACAGATAAATTGATATCACTTTATCTGATTTGTGTTCTAATCTACAGATAAATTGATTTCACTTGAATGTGATTTGTGTTCTAATCTACAGATAAATTGATATCACTTTATCTGATTTGTGTTCTAATCTACAGATAAATTGATTTCACTTGAATGTGATTTGTGTTCTAATCTACAGATAAATTGATTTCACTTGAATGTGATTTGTGTTCTAATCTACAGATAAATTGATATCACTTTATGTGATTTGTGTTCTAATCTACAGTTAAATTGATTTGACTTTTATAAAAAGATAAAATGTGTAGCCTAGACTTTTTAATTAGTGAATACTGTGAACCTTTTAAACAATGTCTGCTACTTACTTGAATGAAACTTTTAAATTAGTGAATACTGTGAACCTTTTATACAATGTTTGCTACTTACTTGAATGTTTTTAATTACTGAATACTGTGAACCTTTTATACAATGTTTGCTACTTACTTGAATGTTTTTAATTACTGAATACTGTGAACCTTTTATACAATGTTTGCTACTTACTTGAATGTTTTTAATTACTGAATACTGTGAACCTTTTATACAATGTTTGCTACTTACTTGAATGTTTTTAATTACTGAATACTGTGAACCTTTTATACAATGTTTGCTACTTACTTGAATGTTTTTAATTACTGAATACTGTGAACCTTTTATACAATGTTTGCTACTTACTTGAATGTTTTTAATTACTGAATACTGTGAACCTTTTATACAATGTTTGCTACTTACTTGAATGAAACTCCAGGAATCCTTGGCGCTGGACACCGACTGGCATGGCAGAAAGTGGACATCAGACACAGCGTCCACATCACTGTGTGGCACATGAAATATCCTTAAGGGTGCAGCTGCATTGACAGGTGCATTTGCAGGTGCATTTGCAGGTGCATCAGCTAGAGTATTGACAGGTGCATTTGCAGGTGCATCAACTAGAGTATTGACAGGTGCATTTGCAGGTGTATAGACAGGTACATTCGCAGGTGCATCGACAGGTGCATTTACAGGTGCATTGAAAGGTAAAGTGACAGGTGCTATACCAGGTGCACTGTCATCCAACAAAAGCTGTGGCACCTCCAACCTGGCCAGATTTTCACGTGACAGCTGCCTTTTTGTCCGCTCCAATGTTTCTGAAGTTGGTGCCTTGTACTGAAGGATGTTTCTCCCTATACTAAACTTGTGCAAACTCTCTCCATCTTGTAATGTATTCTGGTTAAAACCACTGGACTTGGCCCCTTGTTCAGAACCCTTGCCTCTAAACAACAAGGGATTTAGAGTTTGTCTGTTGCCAGTCTGTTTTCTGCTTGATTCAGGCTCTACAGGGTTAAAATTATATTCCTCACTGTTAGTAATCAAGGGGTTAATAACACGTTCACTCTTCTTGTCGACATAATTTACGGGGTTAGTGTTCAGATGACTTTTTTTACGCAGAAATTTGTACGTTGAGCCTACGAGAAGTGGCTTTGAGTTATCAGTCACATGTGTCTTGGGCTTGTAAGTCAGTTTTTCTCTGGCGGCCAAACACATGGAGGTGTTGGTCACTAGCTGACCAGAGGTCATCAGGTACCAGATGGACGTAGGCCGCTTGTACCAGTCCTCTACAACAATACTGCCACCTGAGAAAGGGTTCAAACAAAACCTCAGTTTACAAATGAACATTTTTAAATGTTAATATTTTAACCTCAAAGAGATTAGAAAAAAAATTCGCACTATTAATCATATTTATTAATTTTAATCAAAGAAAGTTAGACTTCATGCAAAAACACAGTCAGCTTTACTGTGAGGTGGGAAAAGTTTATTTCAGGTGGCATATACTCCTCCCATGGGAATCTTTACAATGGGATGTATCTATTTCTTAGTAAAACATAACAGACCTAGGTGTAATACAATGGGATGTATCATTAATATAACATTATACTGAAGGTGGGTAGGATAATATATAAATGCCAATCTTCAAGTGATTCAGATACAAAGAGCTTCCACCAATAACAGCCCCATGGGTGGGGAGATGTTAAAAGCTGACATTATTATAGACGATAAAAGAGTGGGTGAAGTAGAGAGCTTATAAATTTAAAACTCTAGCTCTTGCATGTGACTTGGGCATGAATGGGAAATGAAGATGATGAAGTGCAAAAAATATGTGAATTCTAGAACCATCAACCCACAATGAGAACTGGAGGACCATCAGAATGACTTTTGACCAACCCATCCACCTCCCCTGACCAACACTGACCTTTAAAGTTGACCATCAGAATGACATGTGACCCTCACCCCAGACCAACACTGACCACTTGAGTTGACTGCCAGGATGACCTATGACCCCCCCCCCCCCCCTAAGACCAACACTGACCTCTGGAGTTGACCGTCAACACTGTCTCATCTGGAACTATCTGGGTCAGCTTGCCCCTCCTGCTAATTGTTCCATTAGGAAGAAGAGTGGGCTCCACATTTTGAAGAAACCAGCCAAAACTGTGACAGCTGTTCCTGGCTGTAGTTTTATGGCGACTGTCCCAACTCCTTGAAACATACTGGTATCTGTTAGATTCATTACAATTTTTCACATATTTACCATGTTTTGTTTGTCATAAAAAACAATTTTGTCCTTTATTTTAATTATTGGTCAAAAAATGTTCAAATATTTATTTGACTAAAAATTAATCTAGTTTTCCAGAATAAAGATCCGTGTACACTTAAATGAATCTAGATCTAGATGTGGAGCACAAAGACAGAAAAATCGGTTAAACCAGTATAACAGTTCTACACCCATTTTCCCCCTCCATCTACCCACTCTCTTGACTTGACTTGACTTAGTCCTCTTGCTCCTTATGGAACATAGGGCCTCTACCATTTCCTTCCATTTCTTCCGCTCCCCGGCTATTAATTTTGCCATCTCCCGAGACATCCCTGTTGACTTCAGTTCTTCGAGAAGACTCCGCCTCCAGGTCTGTATTGGGCGCCCTCTTTTCCGCTTTTCCTGTGGGTTCCATTCAAGCGCTTGGCATGTAACATTTGGGTGAGCCTTTCGTAGTGTGTGTCCCACCCAGAGCCACTTCCTCCTTCTTATTTGCACACCTATAGGCTCCTGCCTTGCTTTTCTCCATAATTCTATGTTCGGCACTTCCTACCATCTCAATTTCAAAATCTGTCTAAGGCATCTGTTAATGAAGTCTGCAACTTCGATGTGCTTGCTTTGGAGACTCTCCATGTCTCTGAACCATACAGCAGAACTGCCTTGACATTTGAGTTAAGTATCTACCCACTCTCATCAACACATTAATATCCTACCCTTACAAGAGTTCCCATCTCCCTACACCCACCTCCTCTTACACCGACCTCCCCTATTTCCACCTCCACCTCCCCCACTCTCCCATAATCCCACCTAACACCACCACCCCTTCCCCTACCCCCACCTCATATAGTCCATCTCTACTCACGCTGCCATGTGTTCCTCTACAAAAATACTGTACTCCTCCATCCAGAGGCGGGCTAGCAACAAACGCTCCTTGATCAAAGTCTCATCTGGTCAACAAATAAATCAACATACGATCAGTGTCATTTAGTCAACAAATCAACATTTGATCAGTGTCATCTGGCCAAAAAATTAAAATTTTATCAAAGTGTCATCTAATCAACAAATTAACATTTAGTCAAAGTGTCAACTGGTCAACTAAACTTACAAAAACTTTATACATAAAGTTTTAGTTTTAAAAAGACTAGGACTAAATTTGTCTAAATTGCTAGCTCAGTAACAATGCCTGCTTCCACTGTTTAATGTAGCAAGCTCATAGTTACATCTTACAAAGTGAGCTAATGTTCTGTATTAAGCTCACAAGCTCAGCTCCACCAGAGCTGTGTGAGACTTACCTGTGAACTGATACACCTATGAACTGATACACCTGTGTGAGACTTACCTGTGAACTGATACACCTGTGTGAGACTTACCTGTGAACTGATACACCTGTGTGAGACTTACCTGTGAACTGATACACCTGTGTGAGACTTACCCGTGAACTGATACACCTGTGTGAGACTTACCCGTGAACCGATACACCTGTGTGAGACTTACCTGTGAACTGATATTGCTGTGTGAGACTTACCTGTGAACTGATACACCTGTGTGAGACTTACCCGTGAACTGATACACCTGTGTGAGACTTACCTGTGAACTGATACACCTGTGTGAGACTTACCTGTGAACTGATACACCTGAGATTCCAGGCGAGGGTAGACATGGCCTACATGGGAACAAGGCACCACATGAATGCTGCCAGCACACAGCCAGGTTCTATATAAAATGTATAAGTATATATAAGTATATTTTATATATATTTATATATATATATATATATATATATATATATATATATATATATATATATATATATATATATATATATATATATATATATATATATATATATATATAATATATATATATATATATATATATATATATATATTGTCTAGCTTGTCAACATAAATTATGTTTATTTTGTTTTTAAACTTACTTGAAAGAAAGATCTAAAAACATCACATCACTCCCATAAAAATGTTCATTAAATCCACCCATTGAAAGCAGGAAATCTTTTGCAATAGCAAAAATGCCATCTATCACAGCTGGGCAGGGGAAGGAAGAAGTGGGCGACTCTGTTTCGTTCTGTAAAAAAGATCGGTTATCTCCCTTAGATTAAAAGTACACAAGTATTTTACCAATTCTAGCAGTAATAAACGAGAGGTTACAGCACGTTTCCGAGCACTTAACCAAGGACCATCAACATATATATAAAGTGGTCTGCTTCACACTGTGACTAGATAATTTTTTTGTGCTAATATTTTCCTCTTCACTCTTTATTGTAATGTTGGAAGGGATTTTTTCCAACACTTATAAGTATTACGTGTCAACATATATATTAAGCACCATATAGTACGTGACTCCGATTTCAGCCTGCATTTCTTTCTGGATTATTCCATATCCTTTTTCGAAACAAGAAGAAACTACATGGCAGGATTTGTTTGATTTTGAGGCTTTCTCTCTAGATGGGTTGCTATCCCCATCCTCTTCTGCCCCGGAGTTCGAACTCGGGACAACCACGAGTTTTACCGACCCCTATGCTAAGAAGACCATTATTTACCACGGACCCTCTCAACCTTGCTCATCCTGATCCTCAGCATTACGCCTCGAAAAAAAACTATATAAGGTAACAGTATATGTGTACAGCAAGCGATACACTGCAATATATGGCTTTATACAACGTCATAAGGAGAGAACAGAGGTGTAGTTAAGTTATGTGGAGGGGCGGGATGGGGACAAAATCAATAGTGCGCCACGGTAGCCGGAATGGGTGGCTACGCCTCTGTGAAAAAAAGCTGACATTCTTACCTGAAACTGGCGAGTCTTGGCCATGAGATCCCAGGTGAACGACCTGACCGTCTGGACGTTCTCGTCAGGCTTCAGATACCTGGTGGGGAATACAGGTGTTTTATGAGGTATGGGACAGACACATGGGACAAATAACAGGTGGGGAATACAGGTGTTTTGTTAGGTAGGGGACAGACACACCTGGTCACAAAATTCCAACCGACCTCCCCCCTACCTGGAATTGTGACGTCGTTTATGGGTGACCCCTATTCCCTGGTAGAAACCAATCAAAAGTACTCACTCAAACGTGTCGTGTCTGATGACGTCAATGACAGGCACGGCGACGCGCGTGGTGTTCTGTGCGACCAGCCCCAGGAGGGGCGGCAGCCAGCCCTCCGTCGCCTCACAGTGTGGGGGCAAAAACACCGCCACGTCCCCGCTCATCTCCCTCACCCCCAGAGTTAATCCCTGCGCTAATCCCAGCCGATCCTGGAGACGGATTACCCTCACCTGTCAACAGATCGATAAGATTAGCTAACTAGTGAATGGGATGTGCACTAGGTGCTGGTGGGGAATAGTTCGATCGATGATTGAGTGTCCAGGAATAAGGGTTGGGTGACACAAAGGTAGTCTTCAACATTTGAACATGGGATGTTGATATATGAATGTAGTAGGTGGGATGATGTTGGTATATGAATGTAATAGGTGAGAGATGATGTTGATATATGAATGTATCAGATGAGAGATGATGTTGATATATGAAGAAGAGATAAATTCATATAGAAAATATACACTTTTACCAGCGTCTGTCCACTGGAAAAAAATTTCCGCCCCCCCCCCCCCCCCTCACTAGAAATTTTCAATTCCCCCCCCCCTTCTCTCCCGGTGAAAAAAAAGTCTGAAATAAACACGGATGCAACGATGATGGCACTCATATCAAAATTAGGAGTTGACGCGGTAACGAAGGGGGCCCCCGCTCCCTCCCCTTTAGGTGGCCCTAACCCACGCCCAGATACCTTCAAAGGTCAAATACTGTAACAGCCGTTAGAGAAAATGTGTTCACCTTTCCCAGAGGCTGCAGGTACCGCTCTAGAATAGGAAACTTTAGACTGGACCGTGTAGAGCCGTTGTCTAACAGGATAATTTCTTTCAGCAAGCTGGGCGGTGACCTGGGGAGGGAACACAAACGCTGACTAATGGTTTCTACCTATTTAACATTATTAGATCAGCTGACATTTAAAAATTTAAATCAGTATAACGTATATTCTGATATAATATTATTATTTTTATTTTATAGGCTACATGATATCGCAATAAATAAATAAAAGTTGATTCATCAAACGGTAAATCGTATTTTATCACAACAAAGATAATTAGGTCACATCCGAAATTTATGCACGGAAAATAAATGTGTTTTTATGAAAAAAGGGGGCAGGAGGGGAGAGAAGCTAGGATAAAACCCACGGCTAGTGTATATGAAAACTGTACAGCCAAACACACATTTGACAAGATTTCAATCCGCCAGATAGAGGTCGTTAGAAAGTTTTAGTAGGTTTAATCTACCCCTACAGTCGAGCCGGGTACTAGACGGTGGGTTACGAGTTTACCCTGCGTTCAGTGGGGTTGAAGATAAGCCTGGTGAGAACCAAAGGACAGAAGCGACCGATACGGTAATGAAACCGATATCTAAACCAGTTAGTCAGAGTTTGCCGTGTTGAGGCCTGCCTGGCTAATGGGCGACACCTCCTGAGCCGGGGATGTCCGTAAGAAAGAACGAATGTTTGAAAAAGGTCGAACTTTGTGTTGATAAATATTTGTTATCTATTTGTTTGGATTATAAGAACTGTGTGTTTACATGCAATATGTTTGTCTTTAAAATCTTTGACTGTAAGGTCCCCTTATTTAAGATATTTCTGTTTAAAATATATTAATATTTTTAGTCTGAAACTTCTCTGCGTTTAACTTCTTTAGTTAAAATTTCTTTTTATTTATTTATCGTTAGGATCCTGAGTTACACTATCTCTGTGCTATTTGCCTGAATAAAAACCAATCAGTAGCGTAGCGAGGGGGGGGGGCGGGGGGACATATGTTCCCGGGCGCCGACCTTAGGGGTCGCCAAAATGGGTTGGAAAAATAAATTGAAAGTTTGAGGGGGGTGCAAATCGAAAGTTTGAAGGGGGGGTGCACATTGAAATCTCGGGGGGGGGGGTGCAAATCGAAAAGTTTGTCCCCGGCGTCGGGAAGGGTCGCTACGCCTCTAAACCCAATCGCAGTTTTCAACAGCACCGATTCACACCACGTGACCAACACACTTTGTTGCCCCTGGTCCAACATCAGGCAGGATAGGACCGACCCCCGGGACTTGACAGAAAACTATCCCAATGCCGCGGACCTGCCCACGTGTTTGCTGAAAGCCGGATGGCGGGAAATCCGCGCTCAGCAGACATGGCATGGGGGAGGGGGGTGTGATTCGAGAAAATCAATAAAACATGCTGCAATTTTTTTTTCTTAGACAAACGGGTCGGTGTATGGACATGTATGTAGGAGTGTTGATCAGTTCAACATAAGCAGGTTTTCTTGTATACAATTTTTTATCCGGAGAGGAAGGGGGCACTTGAAACTTAAGTGGGCGCACTTAAAATTTCTGAGGAGAAACACTGGTTTTGGTAAATATTCTGAATATAAATTATATATATATGGGTTCCGGGGAGAGGGGTGGGGGGGGGGGGTAATACACACCACCCACGGAGAGATAACTGAGAGAAACTCTGCACATAAATTATACACGTGTACACACGCCACAAGATAATCTAACAAAATAAGTCTGAGATGTCTAACGAAAATAACGTGTTTACGATGTATTTTACACGCGTGGACATCTCAAGGTAAGATCAATCAACCATAACGTGATTCAATCCTAGGCAACCAGGCACAAGCTTGAAAAACAACACATCTTTAACAAAGCTGTATTTGTATGGTGTATGTGTATGGAAGACAAATCAACCATAACTAGATGTGATTCGATCCTAGGCAACCTGACACAAGCATGAAAAAACAACACATCTTTAACAAAGCTGTATACCTATGGACCGCACCCCCCCCCCCCTCCGCCCCCCGGAGAAAAAGGTCTGGAAGAAACACTGATGGTGTATGTGTATGGAAGACAAATCAACCATAACTAGATGTGATTCAATCCTAGGCAACCTGACACAAACATGAAAAAACAACACATCTAAAAAAAACTGTCTATGCATGGTGTGTATATGTATGGAAGAGGTATCAATGCAACAGGATCGTGTATTGGGTTTCCCGGGGTAGGGAGATAGGCGTCCAGAAAAAAAATTAACTTGTCATTTTCTTTCAAAGCTTTATCTCGTTAGCACTGGTTACTGCATATTTCATCACAGATTTTTGTTTTACAACAGATGGGCGAGGTCAATGCACTGTGCGCACAAATCTCTACATTGATAACTTCAAAGATCAGCCCTTGTTATAGTATCTGATTGTGAACATCGATTTTTCTTTGTCTGCAGTAGAGTCTATTGCTTTAACTACATTAACTCGATGTATTTAAGTATTATGTTTTACACGTGTGTAATTTACTCTGTATATCAATACGCTGTATTATGTGTTGAAGTAATCGGTAAACTTAATTACATCTGCACGTGCAGACAATCTAGACTCGTTAAATCTTTTTAAGCTATGTGTGTAGTTTAGCTTTATCCATTATATTTGCATCGTATCTAACATAAAACATTTGTGTATATGTACATGATTTCCTCAAATTAGATCTCGCATACAAGATAGCAGGCTTTATTTTTTCAAACCGGTATACAGTGTAACTGTAGTCTTTGCATACCAGCTACGTACACAAGTCATCACCATTCATCATTTTTTCCTTTGTAGCCCCTGGGGAGCAGAGGGCTGTAGTTACACTTTACCAGCGGACGGTTGTGGGCTGCTCCCCTTATCTGTGCCCACGTGAGCCCATCGGTCTTTGCCTCTGGGATCACGTCCTAATGTACTCAAGTGATTGCAAGCTTAAACACAGCAGCTAGAGCACTATGCTCAGGGCTCCTATAGCGGTGGATCATGGTGAGCAACTAAAGTTTGTAAAACATCTTTTCCATGCGAGGTTGGGTACGGTAATGTTGTTTTTCTCCTTATTGACCCTCATACCAAAACATAACCCTAATTGTCTGGTGTGGGGGAGGCGTGGTCGACTGGTAGAGCATTTGGCTGCTAGCCCGAAGGTCTTGAAATTCGGATCTCGCTTCGGACTAGTTACTGTAGGACGTCCCTGAGTTCACCCAGCTCTGATGGGTACCTAATTCGTGTTAGGGAAAGTAAAGGCGGCTGGGCATAGTGATGGACACATTATCCCCTTATATGCCGAGGTCAAGAAACATATGGACTACATCATCTGCCCAATGGATCTAGTAATATAAGGAGTAGGGCTATAAAGTCAAAGTTAAGGTTACGGTCAGGACTAGTTAGGGCCAGAGTAAAGGTTAGGGTTAAGGAAAAGGTTAGGGTTAAAATTAGATGTAGGGTTGGGAAATAACTTTTGGTGGGTGAATAATGCTCATCGTGCTCTACTTGTATTCCATAGAAATACGATTTCGTAAAGTGAACAGCAAATCTCGATAAGGGGGTAAGTACCGTGGAGGGCATCTGGCAGGGGATGATATATGGGGGGGGGGGGGTGGCAGTGGGGTAACTGGTCGGAGGAGTAATGTCCTAGACCTACGTCACTAAAGTAGCGCTATCCTAAAATCCAAGATGGTAGTAACTTGGACTACCCGGTCAAAAATACAAATGCTGACTGATGTGAAAAATTGGTCCACAGTTCATACCCAGCATGTATGACGTCAACAACAGAAAATAGATGCTAACATGGAGTGATATTAAGACAAATAGGTGCTCAATTGGTCGCTTAGAACTTACATGTGATAAGTCATTAAAGTTGCCGTGAAATTATAGTTGTTGACATTTTCAAGTACATAGTTTCTGTCAAATGGGTTGCTTTTTGAGCGGTTAAAACTTTGTTTTATTTGAATAAATGGTCCTAAAGGGAAAGGCCGCTTTCTCCCCCATCCCACCCCCACCCCTCCCGTAAGTATCTGGAATATAGGATGGGTCTAGACACGAAAACAGAACAGATACGAATAAAAAAAAAGGGTGTGAATATAGTCTCGTAATAAGTATTGACCAAATAAGGTTATAGACTAGATGTTAAAATAGACAAGTTGTAGACCAAATATGAATATAGACAAGGTGTGAGTGTAGACCAGGTGTATGTACAGGTAAATGCTCACCTTTCTATGACGCTGTAAACTACAGGTAAATGCTCACCTGTCTATGACGCTGTAAACTACAGGTAAATGCTCACCTATGACGCTGTAAACTACAAGTAAATGCTCACCTGTCTATGGCGCTGTAAACTACAGGTAAATGCTCACCTATGACGCTGTAAACTACAGGTAAAAGCTCACCTGTCTATGGCGCTGTAAACTACAAGTAAATGCTCACCTGTCTATGGCGCTGTAAACTACAGGTAAATGCTCACCTATGACGCTGTAAACTACAGGTAAAAGCTCACCTGTCTATGACGCTGTAAACTACAGGTAAATGCTCACCTGTCTATGACGCTGTAAACTACAGGTAAATGCTCACCTGTCTATGACGCTGTAAACTACAGGTAAATGCTCACCTATGACGCTGTAAACTACAGGTAAATGCTCACCTGTCTATGACGCTGTAAACTACAGGTAAATGCTCACCTATGACGCTGTAAACTACAGGTAAATGCTCACCTTTCTATGACGCTGTAAACTACAGGTAAATGCTCACCTGTCTATGACGCTGTAAACTACAGGTAAATGCTCACCTATGACGCTGTAAACTACAAGTAAATGCTCACCTGTCTATGACGCTGTAAACTACAGGTAAATGCTCACCTGTCTATGACGCTGTAAACTACAGGTAAATGCTCACCTATGACGCTGTAAACTACAGGTAAATGCTCACCTTTCTATGACGCTGTAAACTACAGGTAAATGCTCACCTGTCTATGACGCTGTAAACTACAGGTAAATGCTCACCTGTCTATGACGCTGTAAACTACAGGTAAATGCTCACCTATGATGCTGTAAACTACAGGTAAATGCTCACCTGTCTATGACGCTGTACACTGTCCGCATTAGAGTGGTCCACGGTTCGTTATGGAACACGATAATAACGGACGCCACTAGCAGAGGGAGGGAGTCGGGTGAGTACTGCGTGCACTTCCGGTGCCGCACGTCCGGCAGTGTCCGTCTGATTGAGATTCGATCACTGACAAACTGGTTGAATGCGAACTCCTTGTACCCAAGCTGAAATAGTGAGGTATGAAATACAATGTTGGTATACAATTTTAATGATATAATTTCGGTATACAATTTTAATGATACAATCTTAGTACACAACTTTAATGATACAATGTTGGTATACAATTTTAATGATACAATGTTGGTATACAACTTTAATGATACAGTCATAATATACAACTTTAATGATACAATGTTGGTTTACAACTTTAATGTTGAAAATGTTTATATATCTTTAAAATGTGGGGTTATAACAGAATCAGCTGATAGAATATCACTGTACTGTGCCGTGGCGTAGCGAGGTCGGGTGTCACCAGGTGCGGCATTAAATGGTGTCACCGCCCAGTAGCGACCTTTCCCGGGGACAAACTTTCAATTTTCGATTTGCACCCTCCCCCCCCCTCAAACTTTCGATTTGCACCCCCCCCCCCTCAAACTTACGATTAGCACACACCCCCCCCTCACATTTTTCTCTATATATTTTGCTATTTTTTGCCTTGGTGTCACCCCCCTTAAATGGTGTCACCCGTTGCGGTCCGCGCCCCCCCCCCCCTTGCTAGGCCTCTGGTACTGTGTCAGGTTTTCTAATGGTATTACTATAGGGTCAGTGTTAAGATTAGCACAGGACGTTTAAAGCATCTTCCCCCCTCCCCCTCAATTAACCCTCACCCACCCTAATCCCACCCACGCTGACATGGTAGCTGACATGGGGGGGGGTAGTGCCCCGTCAGGGCTTTACAAGCAGAGTTTCTTCCAGGCATCTCTTCGGGGGGGGCTTCGCCCCCCCTCCCCCCCCCCCCCCCGAAAAATTGTTACCCCCCCCCCCCCCCCGAACGAAATGAAATTTATATAATTTATATAGAAAATATATAATTTTAACAGTGTCCGCCCCCCCCCGAAGAAAGTTTACCGCCCCCCCCCCCCCCGAAGATTTCAAGTGCCCCCCCCCCCCCCCGGAGAAAAAAGTCTGGAAGAAACACTGTTTACAAGGTTTAAGATTATATGGCACTGTGCCTGTTAAAGTTTTAATTAAGCACTTGTTAGCTTCACTAATGATTATCAGAACAGTTGTAAAAAAATAGGTTAATGACCCCCCCCCCCCCCTCAATCAACATGCAAAAAAAAACTATCCCAATTAAAATATTAACGAGCATTCCAACTTTAAAAAAAACACACACACAACGACATTGAAGCAGCCGACTTACTGTATATTCCTCTTGATTTTTAGCGTTGAGTTTAGTGGGGTCGATGAACACTCCCGCCCCACCCTGACCCCAGACAACAACCTCTGCCATGTCGGGGAGATACCCAGGCACCACAACAGAATCGTGCATCATCGCCGTACGTTTCTCTTCCTGTGTTGGTTCGCCTGTCAGCGCGCGGAGTAATACATAGACTAACAGCAGGCAAACAACCGTCAGGAAGACGGTAATAACCAGGGGCGCCTTATCTCGGAGAAATAGTTCCAACGTTTCCATGCTTGACCGTCTTGAATCACGGAAACGCCTTTTTCTTTTGTCACTGTTCCTCTGAGAATTATAATTGAGCAAAAATATAAAACAACATTTCACAAAGCTTGTTTGTTTATTTTTCTTTGAACTAATGAACTCAAAATTACACGAACTATTTGGTGCATTATGGTGCCGTTAATAGTTGCATGCAGTAAATTACGCACCTCAAGAAATGTTTTGCGATTGTTTTTACTTTCTCGTATATACGAAGTATAGAGAAAGTCTTGTAATCGTGCAAAAAAAAAATCGAGATTTTTGCAAATCTCGACGTTTTACATCTCACTGATACGGAAAAACATAATTTTGCAATCTTGTCCGTATGTCTGTGTGTCTGTGTGTGTGTGTGTGTGTCCGTGTGTAAACACGATAACTTGAGTACCGTTACAGCTAGGTTGATGAAATTTCATATATAAGTATTTTATCGAAATCGTAGATCCGTATCAACTTTTGAGCGATTTCCGATAACCGGAAGTGGTACTTTTTCAACTTTGAATTTTTCAAAAGCCTATAACTTGAGTACTATTTCAGATAGATAAATGAAATTTGATATGTAAGTAAAAGATCTAATTCTCTACCTTCTTTCAAATTTTGAGTAATTTCCGTTTATCGGAAGTACTTATTTACGCTACTTCCGATTTCTCAAAAACGCATGTAAATTTATAAAGTGCTAATAATATTGCGCACTATTATGCACATCTTTATTTAGCGTTCACTTGGTGTGCATTTCTTTTTTCTTCGAGATTATATTCTATTTTAAAAAATTTGAGTATTTAAAATGGATTAAAAATCATGTCTAGAAGTCTATATCCCGAGTTGCCATCCCCCGTAGTGTTATATTAGAATATTCGAGAAAGTTTAGGGGAGATCACTCCCGGTTTATTTTAAATACTAATTGATTTTTCGATTAATTAAAATAGTTTGTGTTTAAAGTTGTGGTTTCTATTGTCATTCAACCGACAACCAAAGGGCGAATGAAGTTTCAAGTCAGATAATTAATTTGAAAAATACCCAAACGATATTATTCAGTTATATTTTTAGAAATTGAACAGTGTATTTGAATAGAAGGTCTATTTTTACCAGCTTCCATTTAACTTGCTTCTTCGTTCTTTTGTCTGTCGTGCTTCGCCATGGGTCGAAACCAGCGAGCGAAATTTCGACCATTTTCAACTCTTTGAATTAAAAACTTTGATGAAACAACGCTTTGCATTATGTTTAAAACTGGTCGCTGAGAAAACAGTTGAAACGCGATCTCGAAACATTTGCTTTTAATAATATAGCGCTTAAGATAAGAACTGCTCGCTATTAGAACTATGTCGATAGAAATGATAATGTACAAACAAGCTATTAAAAAGGATGACAATCACTCGCCTGGGGTTGGCCACATTTCTCTAACGTGCCACAGGTGTCTATGGGTTGGGGTTGTTTTGTTTTAATTCGCATGCTATTGCGGTAAAAATAGACACTGAAACGTTGGCCCGGGGCCAGCTATAAGATTATATCAGCTAAGATGAAATAGGTCTAGGTATATTTTTTTCTTTACCTTCGTTGCTAGTTCACTGTTGATCATTCCTTTTGGTCTGTTGAGCTGAAATTTTCAGGAAAAAAATATATTTAATTGGTGAAAAAATTATAACTACTGAGATATCAATACGTCATTTAAAAATATAGTGATTGTCGGGAGACTGTTGGGGGGGGGGGCGGATTCACTGGTATTGGGGATAGTTGGAGGGATCGGAGTCACTGGTATTATGGACGGTTTCAAAGATAAGAGTCACTGAAATTATGGGCAGTTAGAGAGATACGAATCATTTAGGAGGGGTGGTGACACCAAGAGAAAAAAAAAATGAAAAACATATAGAATAAATAAGTTTTTGCCAGTTCAATGAATGGTTAAAAACTATTTTAAGTGCATAATGACGACCCCGACAAGGGGAGGGGGAGGCGATACCATGACGTAAAAATGCTAACTGTAGAGAAAACAATGTTACACCCAGCTGTATTTATTAACAACAGATTATAGATAAACATCATTAGTATTATATGTACACTTTAAAGTTTTTAACGTGGGGGTACACCAACTACAAAACTTATAGAGAAAAAAGAGGGAGGGGGGCATCATGAGGTACAGCACCGACTGAAAATTGGTCTATCAACGCCACTGGTATACAACACTGATCTAAACATTACAGATTCGTTGAGAATGTAATGTGTAAGAGTAATTACCGAGACTAATTACATTTGTATCGGATGTTAGCGACACGCGAATCTCATTATTCGTTTTGTTTTGAAGATCAAAAGCCAGATCTAATTACCTGGATGACGCAACTATTGGGGAGGGTTTATTTCATACCTGGAGATTAACATAGTAGTGGGGGGGGGGGTGGGGTCGAGGGGGGAGTCTCTCGGTTTGTCATCAACGTTATATTTTGATTCTATTCTCGCTCCACCCGTCCTCAAATTTTAAAGTTGATGATGAAAACATCCATTACAGTCGGTCATTTTATTTATAGCTCTAAGAAGTTCATTGGTGATCATATGAGTTGTTAACATGTGTGTGTGGCCTATTAGTCAACTAACAATACCCACCCATCCCCTCCCCCGCTGAATGACGTCGATGAACTGACCATGTGAGTTGTAAGAATACATGTGTAGACTATATGTCAACCAACAATACCCCCACCCCTCGCCGATTAACGTCGATGAACTGACCATTTGAGTTGACAATATGTGCAGCCTGTATGTTAACCAACAGCACCCCCCACCACCACCCACCCCTCGCCGAGTGACGTCGATGAACTGACCATGTGAGTTGTAGGTTTGTATGAGTGGGCTATATGTTAACCAA